GTTGACCACACCACAGGTGTGATGTATAACGAGTCCAAAGTAACTTCGATTAACAGCTAGCGACAACTTAGCCTCTAATTTATGTCCTCTTCACAAGATTTTATATTCTATTGCACTGGGATACAAAATCATTTTCTTTCAAACTACCCTATCTTTTTTTATCTGGGTTAAGGCTCAAACATACACCTCCTTGGTAAGACCTAAGAGTTAATGCTCAAGCATTACGACCTATTTTAGAATATGGAAGTACTGCATGGGATCCTTACAGGGTGTACCAAAATAACTGGCTCAAACAAGTACAGCGGCGTGCTGCAAGTTTTGCTACTAAAACATATTCAAGACAGGAAGGCTGTGTTACCCAAGCATTAAACCATCTTACTTGGCCAACATTTAATTTAGAGCACAGAAGGAAAGTGAACAGACTAACTTTAATGTACAAGACACTACATGGCTAAGCAGTAATCAATATACTGTACCACCTTATGTGAAACATAAAACTGTAATGAAAACTAGAGGCTTTGATCCAATGAAGTTTACTTCGCTAGAAACATCATGTGATGAGTATAAATAGCTTTTTGGCCTAGAACAATTGATGAATGGAATAGTTTACCATCAAATATCATAAGTATGACTTCACCAAGTATAACTTTAAAGTGGCTGTGTATAATTATCTCTCTGCTTAAGTTTTAGCTCTACCAATTTCTATTTATTTTAGAATTGCTGTTTCGAAATTATTTGATACTTAGCTGCACATACACATTTATTCATTCTTATCTTTGCACTAGAATTTGCTGTATGTCCTCATAGGATTTTGCAAATAAATTATGTAGATGTAGATGTAGATGTCTGTTAGATTGTATCGCGAGTTCTGAGAGGCTACTGAGGTAGGAAATAATTCTTCCAATTCCCCAATTTGCTAATATTTCTACCTCTGGCTTAGTATTTACCTCAACCCTTATTACTGCACAAATCCCAGGGATTGTACGATCGAGACCCACGATGAAGCCAAACACCTATCTTAATCCTGAAGATTATACTTCCCTATTTCTGAGGTATCCGTGGTTTGTCACTAAAATTCACTTTGTGACATTTTATTCCACAAGATCTACAAATTTTCAACTTGAAATTATTAATCTAAGGTTTACAAACATAAAAAATGATTTCTCAAACAAAGCGTAACCGTGTGTCTACATCCCCACGGTGGTGTTGGAGCTGATAAATGCGATTTCATTGACAACAAAAATAAACACATCTATGAGAACTGGAAAATCACTGCTTCATTACACTCTTTGTTTACCCTCTTACCTTTGGTGGAGACTTTTCGCTGAAATCTGTCAAAGAATTTAAATTTCCAAACATGATAGGAAATCGAGCAATTTTGAGTCCTGAGGCTGCTCTATGTAATACCAATTGAATTGTCCTTTTTCACCCTGTATATGCAATGAAAGTTTTGCTTTGCAGTTGAAAATTTTCGGACAATATTCAGATCTCTGGCAGAGGTTCAAGATAAGTCTATGTCTTAAGCTCTTGAAAATTAGTACTCATCCCCGAAAAATTTTCAATTCTGTCAAGTATAACGTAGTATTTAGCCAATGTACGGTTGCGAATTATTGACATTTGTGACAGGCTGTACGCATGAATAAATATTTGATTGGTCTGCATTTAGTGGGTTTTGAGTGTTTTTCAACTGGCGCGCGGAAGATAAATTTAGTGGTGAACAATAAAGACAATAGAGTGGTTATGTCTCGGAGCTATCGGTCTGATAGTTACCCCTTGGAAATTTGATGTTTATCATTTGTTTTAAAAACATCAAATTTCTGCAGTGCAGCTGTCAGCCGAAAATTCCTCGACAGAGGGTCTGATCCCTTCCAGATCTCTCGCCTGCTCGCAGGCAATTTTGACGCTAAACGTCATAGAGATCATGTGATCGACGCGCGGCTTTTGTTTCTCTCGCTTCCAATTTCCAGACATATAATGAAACTTAAGCAGAATTTTGCATATTTGCCCTCGAAGCTTCGCGTCTTGGGCAAATATTTGTTTTGAGAACTTCAAATTTCCGCGGGGCAACTATCAGCCGATAGTTCCTAGACAAAAACATTATTGTTTAATTAGAGGGTCTAATCCCTTCCAGATCCAGACCTAGCTCTCGCCTGCTCGCAGGCTATTTCGACGGTAAACGTCATAAAGATCATATAATCAACGCACAGCTTGCGTTCCTTTCGCTTTCAATTTCCAGACATATAATGAAACGTAAGCAGAATTTTGACATCGTCATGATTTGTATGAACTTTGAGAGATATGCCAGTTGGATATATTTTCAAGTTTCATCATTCCTGTTTTGTTTTGAACACGAGTGTTAGCTGTGTGTTGGGTGTTTATTACTCTACATAATCTAACAATCCGAGTGTGAAATCCTTCACCACCCGGACTGTTTTGTTTTTGCAAAACGTGACGTAAATGTCATAAGGATCATGTGATTAACGCGCGCATTATTTCTCTTTCGCTTTCAATTTTCAGGTCTAAAGTAAAAACCTAGGCAGAATTTTGCTTCATTCTTCACAAGGAGCTGCGAAGAACACTTCCAGAAACGTTTGACAAGTAAGTATAAATTTAAAGGTTATGCAATTAAGGCCGAGCATTATTTCAAAAGCTTAATTTAGAAATCAGGAAATTAAACAAACGCATTACTTCTCAGGTAGGTCGGCACTCACAGACATGATGAACTACCGAAGGGATTAATGCTGGGATTAAACCATAAAGGAACCTTTCTTAACGAATCTAGGCATGTGCGTTCGATTGAAACCTGTTATCTAATGGAAGGGTGGGTAGAAATACAGCTTATTTGATTCGAACACGAATAACATCGACACGATTTATGCTAAAAAAGACCTCGAAGGGAATTTCCACGTACAGCTGAGCCATTACCGAGTTGTGAATTAACAAAGAGAGAAGCCTTTATTGTGCTGTGTTCTGTTGTGGAGCACGCAGGAAGCTGCTAGAGTACGAAAGTAGTGTAGGGAGAAACACGAGACGTTTATTAAAGAAGAAGTTAAATTCCCCACCCATAGTACTTTCAATTTTCGAAACAAGTTTTATTTCGAAAGCGAAAATAGCGTCGTTAGCATAATCGTCAGCACATTCGTTATGCATAATTGACAAACCAATCAGAATCCTTGTACGAATGGTTTAAGTGATATAATTGGTTGAACAAGACTAAACCTTTCAAAAATGTCAAAGCCTCAAAACTCACAACCTGCAATAGTTCACAAACTGAAATTGTTTCGACAGGGCACTTACGCCTGTAGTTCTATAGTCTCAAGACGGAATCGGAAAGTGAAAGGTTTAGTGAAATCCGGCAGAATTGTGGCTCATAAAAACACGTATTTTTTTTCACATGATGATTCACAAAGATAATGTAGGGGTGGGCAAAAATACAGCTTATTTGCCATAACACGAACACTGGAGACATTATTTGTCGAACAATATGTAAGACGGCCAAAACGGTCGACGTAAGAACAAAAGATCCGAGGGAAGATTTACAAGTTTATTACACCGCAAATAAATGCAACGGTACAATAAAAAAACGGGAACGAGTGACACTAAACAATAAATAAGAAAACAAAGTTTCAATGAGCCAAATGATGTAGCAAGATTAAAATGACTTAGGAAAAAGTACTTAACAGTAAAAGATAACCTACAGACAGAAATAATTCAGTAAAGAAAGGAAACAAACAAAGTACTTGAAAACAGGAAATTGTGTGACAGAAACTATCAAAAATAGTGATTGCTACACCAGGCATGAATTCAACAAAGATTACAAGCTAGGCTTAATATTACAACTTGAGCTAATACAGTATAAAACAGTGAAAGGAGAAAATGAAATTACTAGTGTAATGAACCCATAATTTGGTTCTGAAAACACAGGAATCATAGCAACAATGAATTGGAAGCAGGTAAGCAAAATATTACAGCTGCTAAACGAAAACAATTGAAGTTCATATAGCAGAGAAAATAAATAAGATACAGTAGTAAGATAAAAAGAGTATGTGGCTAAACTAAGCAAATTCTAACCCGAAAATCACTACAAAAATACAATGGAAACAACTACATGCTAAGCTTAGGGCTCAAACAAACATAAAATACTGAAACATACCAAAAGCTAGTATAGCTTAGAATCCGCTTTAAAGACACTCTCAGGAAGGCAACAAATCAACTGAACTCACCGAGCAAACAGTTGTAACTTATAGTAAAATACAGGAAAAGGTAAAAATAACTTAAAACCAAATTTGGGCTAGGAGCGATTAATTAAACAGGAATTACCTAAGGGAAATCGGCAATTAAACAGGAATTACATAAGGGAAATCGGCAGTTAAAGGAATAATACAATTAACACATTACTAACACAATTAACACATTACTAACATTACTGACAAATCGCTAAAATTCCATAAAATAAAATAAACAGAACAAACATGTTTTAAGTAGGAAATAATCCTAAGTGACTCTGTCACAAATATTCTCCACAATTGATAGGCATCGACTAGTTTTAAAGTTCAGTGGCAGTGCTAGAAAACCGTTCCGAAAGATGTCGACATTAGTTTAATCAGTTTTGTGGCATTTCGTCCGACCAGACACGATTTATCTAAAACGGGCCTCGATGGGGGAATTTCCGCGTTCAACTGAGCTATTACCGAGTTTGTGATGATATTTATTAATGTGCGTTTTTATTCCTTCCATTCAAGCGATGCTCAGTTCTTTGAATTCTCAGACGTACTGACAGTGGTCCTCATTTCCTAAAGCTATGTTTAAATGAACAAGCGAATTTAAATATGTACTTCATACACTTCTTATCTTCGCCATTTGCGTGGCGGTTCAAATAATTGTTTCGATTGCAGTCGGCCGTAAGCAATATCCTATGATTGGACATATCAAGGATCTTATAAGCAGCGGATGCAGAGAAATTAATATTTGACAGTGTTTACAGTTGATAAAACCGTACAGTTGCAGCACGATCCCATCTTGTTGGTTGGACGCAGGTTGATGCACTTTTTCAGAGTCTGCTGCACCACTCTATCGGTCTTCGACAAATTTGGTCGACAGGAGGCATACTCTTATTAGAAGAACGAAACTTTTTGTGCAAGAACTGTATCAGATATATTGTATAAAGAGGCTTGATTATAATTTCGGACCACTGGCTATATCCAGGTTGGGAATACTAAAAGAAATTGACACGAGAGAATATTCCACAGTTCAGAAACCAGAAGTTCAGTAAGTGTTGTGGTCCATTTGAGAATTAATTCACATGGCCTTATGGGACAGCGGACTGTCCCTTTTCGATCTCTTCGTTTTCGTCAATATCGTGTTGTTAAATTCGAGTGCAGTAAGGACTGTTTACATGACGAAATTTAGATTAGAAAAAAAATTGATTCCTCAGCTAGGTTTGTATAAAGCCCATGAAGTTTGATATTGTTTCAATCTAAAGGGACTATTTCAGCGCATGCTGGCTTCTTGATCTAAGTTCAATCGTAATGTCCCCACTTTGTCGATAAGCACTTCCACTGTCTTATTCAAGCTTCTCTAAACTATATTTTCCTTATTTTTTTAGGTCCAAAATCGTTAAATTTAAAAACTAAGACGTTAATGTTGTCGAGTTACTGTGATTTTCTGGTAAAAAATTGTAGTCACTTGGAAAAACTAGCGGCTGATCTTGAGACATTAGCCATTCTAAAATAGTACGGTAATAGTTAAAGATGATTTGTCAAGATTTTGCTTGTAAAGATTCAAATTATTTCTGAGTCTTTGTCAGTCACGAAACATGTTGTAGCTTGAGTCAAAGTTGGCTCTGTGGTCTTCATACGACAGATTTTACCCTCGTCGAAATCAACGGGAATGCATATGTAATGACACATATTTTGTTGTAAGCTCTTACGCCATTAACTAACGGCTTAATTTCTTTCAGTTTTATTTATTTAATGGAAGATTCGTAATTTACAGTTAAGCTTCAAGCATTACTTACATTCAAATCAGTATTTCGTGTGGGAAACACTATCCAGTCTTGACACATTCTCTCCAGGCACCTGGAGACAGCAAGCAATGATCTGCTTACACTTGCCTTTGATACTCCCATGGTATCAGCTATGACTTTGAGAAAACTCCCCAAGGCATGGTAATGGAGTGATATGAGAACCTGAGAGGCATTGTAAATAAATGTCACTAACAAAATATTTGTGGTGGGAATCAAACAGGATCCACCTAATCAGAATATTCAGAGAGCAAGCAAACAACACATGCGGACCACCGAGGAAACAATGTAAACCTGAAATCTTTAAATTTAGCTACAAACACTTAATTTCCGCAGTTTATACTGACGGGAATTTCTCTTAAGTAAATGTACAGAATATTGTGAAAAAGAATGGAATTTAAAAGTTTTTTTTTAGAGTGATTTAATCATTTTCTTCAGTGAATGTCATGCGTAATTTTCTCCGACCTCCAATCGAGTTATCTAGCATAAAGCAAGCTAATATCATTAACAATGCGACCGAACCAGTTATGTGATTGGGGAGAAGAATTTTAAAGTCTATTCTTTTCGTTTATCCATCATAAGCACAGTACACTTGTTCGTGTATCACTCAGCTAATGCCATAAGCAACAATTGTCAGCATTTGTGCAACCCGGCCGCGTTTAATGCAAGTCTCCGCGATCGCTGTACTGTATGATGTTGTAAAGATAGACTATAAT